CGCCCCGAGCTTCTGGGCAATAGCCAGGGAAGCCGAAGTACCATGAGCTGAGCCCAAGTTATGACCCTGAGTTGCTGCGGTTGTAGACTCACCCGTGTGAGAGACCACAGAGCTCGTGGGAATGTGAGGGATCAACCCATAAGTCGCAGGGCGACAATCCGAAGGAAATCAGAGGCACGCCTTGAGTTTGGTAAACTCAAACCGAAGATGGCGTTCCACACACACCTCCCTGTGGCCTAACTGCAAGTTGCACAGCAAGAAAAGGTTCCGGTGCCACAGGACCCATCGCTCAAAGAGAATTTTGTCATCCGCAGCGATTTCGCCAGGAGCGAGCACCACAGGAATGGTCCGCATCGCGGGTATAGTGTTGCTTAAGTCGAGTGTGGTACGTATCCTCCGGGATTCCTTACGGAACCAAGAAGCGAGATCGCGGAGCCTTTCGTTCAGCTTGTGTAGTGACCGGAAGCCCGACCTTATAGACGCCCAACAATCGAGTGATCGCGTCCTTCGCTTCTGTAGCGGGATCCGTCGAGCAGAAGCCGTAAGGGTCTAAGACCGCCCGTGGTTGCGCGCACATGAGAGCTGCCCGGCGGGCAGCATCCAGGAGGGTGAGGTGTCCTAGCGGCATGACGTGAGTCCTGCTTCAAACCTTGCGAACACCGTGTACACTTTCCGACCTCTCGACTTCCGGAGAAAGTGGACTCATTACTGATCATATCGACGATCGCAAAGAGACAGCAGTTCTTCTCCTATACGGAGGCGAGCTGCAGCTTTCACGACTGTTCGCGCCGCCTAATCAGGAATATCGCGTGCGATTGCATTTCCTTGCCGCCCGACAAGGCAAAAATAAGTTGGTGGACTTTGTCCAGGAGTTTCACACTCTCATTGCCGATATGGCGGCCGATCCTCTTTCCGAGTCGGTCACAGTGACCGTCTTTATGGAGGGCATCCACACTAGTGTGGCCAGAATGGAAGTCTTGCGTGTGCACCCTTCTTCTTTCGAAAAAGCTGAATTGCGGTATTGAATGCCAAATTCAACTTTAAGTCGGCATGATTTGGATGGAATGCACACTCTAACAGCTCGTCGAGCGAGCCTGAGCCGATGGATCTCTGCTATGCTGAGAAAGAGGAGGCAGAGCTCTGAGCTGCCGAGCAGCGTTCGAACACCCGACGGTGTTTTGTCTGTGGAGACACCCACCACCTTCGGATTAGTTGTCCCCTGCGCAAGGGGCGTCCAGGTTCATCGAAACGATGTCCCGCCACTTACCAGTCTTCTGGTTCGTCGCGGGGAAACGAGGACACCCAGTAGGCGCGAGGCGGCCTACTGGGGAAGAACAGTGTTCTGTTGAGCCTGCGTGTCTAAGACCCGAGGGCCTTCTGCATGCATTCTCTGCTCAATGATTCCTGTGTCTAGGACACAAAAGATCGCTCTTTCCGAGAGCCTCTGCGGGCACAGCCCTTCTTGGTCTCCTACACGCTGCAACTTTGTACAGCAAGTCCGCGGCACCAAGGGAAGCGCATTTCTAGCCCTCGGCAATCGAGCAGCGCGCACTGCGCTCGACACTTGCGACGCTTTACGTTGTCGAGGATTTGGAGGAAGTCGACTTCGAGTCGGATATTCCTACCCCAGGACAGGGAAACGCCGATTCGACTGAAGTGCCCCACGGCAGTATCCATTCTCGCGCTCGACCACCGAGCTTGGAGATAGCTTACGCCACGCGCTGCTGCTCGGTCTGGAGCATGGCGGACGCCATGGCCATCTCAACCTCTCTCACCCGAGCAGGACTCGCCCTCGAAGGTCTAAATGCTCACCATGAGCGGCTTGGATCGAGGGGAGTCATCCTTGTCGACGGTGGCGTCACGGACGCAGTCGACGTCAAAATCTTCTACTTTAGGTGCTTTAGAAGAGCATTTTCATATCTTAAAAACGCCTCCAGGGGTGCGCTGGTCGCTTTAGGATCTTGCGAAGCGAGGTGTTGCACGCGCTCAGGGCCAAGCTGAGACATCAGCATTTTTAACCCCTCCTGCATGCCGTGGGGCAAATAGCGGAATTGCTCCATTTTCACAGCGGATCAGTTGTAACGACTCAAGTGTAGATTGTTTACAAGTGCTACCAAGTGCAGTGGGGCTGCCGTAGCTTTTTCGCTTAGAGGAAGTTAAGTTAAGGCCGTGACCTTCGTTCTATACTTTGAACCAGTACGAGTGTAGCAGATCGCAATCTGCTTACTTCATTGTGTGATCACATCATCTTTTGTAACCCATACCATTGTATGGTCACACAATATGGTGTGACCAACAGCATTGTGTGATTACACAATCTTGTGTAACCATGTAACACTGGGCACAGGGAGCCATGTTCAATATAGAATGGCTAGGGCGTGTCAACGAGAGTTCGGTCGGCCTGTCGATCACGAGAACAGCGCGTTACCGGGTGGATGTATGAGAGGGGACTTGTAATCTGCGGACCAATCACGGTAAAGTGCAAAACGTGGAGTGGAACTCCTGACGCAGTGATTGCTGGTGAATCGGTCACTTTTGTACAGCTATTTTAGCATCACAAAAGAGATGAGGTTTCCATTGTGTATGAGGGAGGGTGTAACGGCACGAAATGTAATTTGGTGTAACTTCACCCAACGCATTGGGTCCAATTGAACTAAATACAGTATTGCACTTGGTTTCGGTTCTTAGATGATAGATACCGAAAAAGGAGATTTTTTTCACCTAACCGTGTGGCAGAAAATGAAGCCAGTTTTATAGGAAAACGACTGCAATTCGTATTAGTCAAAAGAGCAACAATTCAATATTTGTGCCTCCTGATATAGCAGAGCTAACTAGACAACTACTTGTATTTCCCCCTCTGGTAGGGGCGCGCAAACTCAATTTACGTGCGCCTGGTAACGCGGACTCTTAAAACCAAAACTTTTATGTGCAAAGTGCACGGCAACCCTTTTTAATTTTTGGGGTATTCAAAGCAAACCAATACACATATATTCGCTTCACTATATCCAATGAACCCTGTATATCGCTGGACGAGGGGCTAAGAGTATCTTCTTTATAAAGCTCAATAGTACCAATACTTTGTCACCACACACAAGTGTAATCGTACAATCGCTTTGAAGTACGTTCCACTTCTATAGTACACGATGAGTCGATAATGTCTTTTTTATCAGCAATCGACTAATGTGATTATTGAAAAATAGGAAAAGGTTAACTCTGTTTTACGAAAGAACTGTCTGACCTCTAGAATATATGAATACCGCACTTTCGTTACATATAGTGTATAAAATATATCGATATGTTCGATTACCAGCTGCATTGTAAGTTAGCAAATGGAAAAGACGCAGCATGCCTATCTCACAGAAACTCAAGGATAAGCAGAAAATCTAGCTGGACGATGACTATCTCAATGAACGTACAGAACGCGTAGCAACATATTCAGCATTCAATTACCTCCTTACAAATATCGTGCTTATTGACAAAATTATATCAAGCTGTAATCTTCAATTTTTAAGCGATCTTTTAGTGAAATCAATGACTGCTCATCCCTATTATGATGTGTCGTAATATGGACAAGCAATCATCAACTTCTCGTCGTCTCGTGACAAATTCGAACGAGCACATACAACGTGTGACCCGTCGATGTAGAATATTGCACGTCGCACGATATCACCGTTACAAGGAGGGTGCACTATTTAATTGTCAAGTTCCGTAAGAGTAACCAAGACATATGACCCGGTACACAAAATTCGCGGAGCTATGTCAATCCACACACTCACTTGACCGAGCAGGCTCTTCTGCGCGGTAGACCCGATCAAATCTGGCAAGTCGATCTTCTCCCACAAACAGTCCGTTAGGCTTTCGCTACCTCGCCTTCCCAATCACCATTCTTTTACTCAATTGCTGCTCTTGCAACTCTTACAATGGCATGTGTACATAGCGGCTTACAGAGAGCTATTTTTTGTAAGGTGTGCCAACAAACGGGACAAGTACTTATTGCTTTAATCACGGGCCCCACACTTGTTTAAGATCCACTCAGCGCGCACATATATATTAAAATCTGTTTTTACTTGTTCCCAACAAATGCCATCTCTCAGTATTGACGACACCAGAGCGACGGCGCTTTCGAAGGTAGAGGACTCATTCATCGAGCGAGTATCAGAGTCATACGGACGTATATCGCTCTTTCAAAATATGACAAAAAAGAAGAAGGTACCGATCGACTCAAAAGCTGCTGAAAGCATCGTTGGCTCAAATGTCCGCCCGTTGGGGACGTCGACGACTTCGCTTGATTTTAATGTGGTCGATGCTTCTAATGGCTCGATCTATTGCGACAGGAGCACGTACGCCGCCGACGACGAGACTGACACACTGGACGAAGAAGCAGTCAATCACCTGCTAAGTAAAGTAGCAGACGACACGATTGGACGCAATGAACCCTTTCAATCTCCTTTTGGTGTCAAAGCTCAATGCTATGCGGATTACACAGCTAGTGGCAAACCGCTCAAAAGTATTGAGCACTTCATGCGCCATAAAATCATGCCAATTTATGGCAGTACGCACACTATGACATCCGTTTCGGGATCACAGACGACGGCATTTCGAGAAGAAGCCCGCGCAATCATTGCAAAGTCAGTAAATGCTTGCGGGTCTAAGGACGTGGTGCTATTTGCAGGCCAAGGCTGTACAAGTGCAATTCAAAAATTGATCACAGCTCTAGGTATAAACTCATCGAAGCGACTGCGACGTCCATCAAAACGTCCAGTGGTTTTTACGTGTCCGTTTGCGCACCATTCAAACCTGCTGCCGTGGCGAGAAAGCCTCGCAGCTGATATTGTGAAGATTCCTGAAGCCAACGGTGGTGGTCTTGACGTGAAGGAGTTAGAGCGTCAATTAAGACTCTACAGCAATCGTAAACTCAAGATTGGCACGTTCACTGCTGCTACAAATCTCACGGGC